AACTTTTGTTTATGCACTAAATGAATTTGAAATTTTATGACTACGATTATTGTTATTATTATTATTATTATTATTATTATTATTATTATTATTATTATTATTATTATTATTATTATTATTATTATTATTATTATTATTATTATTATTTAGTTATTTATTTATTTATTTATTTATTTATTTATTTATTTATTTATAACTAATAATTTTATCAATAATATTAATATAAATGACAGTATTTTAGAAAGGATCTGTATAAATAACGGACATTAAATTATTTGCAGTATACATTTTTCTGATTTTTATTTTCTTTTTTCTTTTTTTAAAAGATCTATTGAAAAAAAAAATATTAGTATAGATATTATTAAAAAATGATAACAATATTATTTAATAAATATAGTTTTCATTTTAATTTATTTTTCTTTTGATTCTAATGATTTTATTTGATTTTTGAAACTATAATTAAACTTTTAATCATTTCATTATCTAACTAATAGCATGGTGATGAAAAGATAGCTGTTAAAAATTTGAAATTTTTTGAATTTTGGCGGATTAACCCAATTTTTTTTTTTATTTTTTTATTTTTTTTTTTAAAAATTAAATTTTTTTTGTGCATTTTCCACACTCACATACACAATAATAAAAATAATAATATTAAATACCAATTTAAATATTATTATTTCTTTAAATTAGATTCAGTATTATTATTAAATTATTAATATTGATTTAGCAGTAATTCTTATTACTATTTATTTTTTTAAATAAAAACAAATAATTTATTTATTTATTTTTTTTTAAAAGAATTTTTTTATTTTTTTAATTTCTTTTAATTTATTAAAATCAAATATAATTAGTATACTTTTTTTTATAAAAAAACCAATTTTTTAATAATAAATAATAATATAATGGATGTATATCTAAATTATGGTTGTTTAACCCCACCAAAAACAATTGGTTGTAAAAGAAAATCAATTTCATCAACTCTAAAAGATCTAGAATCATCAAAAAGTAATAATAACGACAACATTAAAACAACTGACATCATTATCAGTAACAACAAAAGCAGTAATACTCCTAATGATGACGACGATACTTATATTGATAATAAAGGAAAAAAGCAAATAAATCAAAATAAAAAAATTAAACTAAATCAAACTGATAAAATAATCACCACCACCAATAACAACAACACTAACAACATAGGCACCATACAAAACACCATACAAAACACCACACAAAACACCACCACTATATCTACAAAAAAAGACATAATTAATATAGATAAAGATCTTCCTTCAGATAATATCATAAATAAAAATAATAATAATAATAATAATAATAATAATAATAATAATAATAATAATAATAATAATAATAATAATAATAATAATAACAATAATAATAATAACAATAATAATAATAACAATAATAATTTTGATATGGACAATATTAATATTAATAAAAATAGTATAACAACAACATCATTTCAATATTTTAAACAAGCTCAAGAAAAATATGTTAAAGAATGGGATTGGAAAGCTGCATCAAAAAAAGCATTCTCTACGGATCAAACATTAAAAATTTTAGAACCAAAACAACAAAAAGTAAAGAAAACTAAATCTTCATCATCCTCAGCATCCTCATTAAATAATACTCATCTAGAACAAACTGTTATTGATGCTGGTCAAAAAAATGTTGGACAAATGGTATGTCAAAAATGTAAAATGTTATATTCATATGGTTCAAAAGAAGACGAAATTGCTCATCAATCATTTTGTAATGGTAATATACAACAACAAAAAGTTATAATTAAAAATTGGAAATCTTTGAAAATTGTAAATTTGCTCCATAATGGCCAAGGAATTATTGCTGTAAATAGAGATGATACCTCAATTATATCAAAAATTAAACAAATTAAACAAATTATAAACACAGAGTTGGGTTATACCGAAAAGTTAAAGAAGAGTGAAAGTAATGACGACGATGATGACGAGAAATTGTTTTTATATCTAGATGCAAATGGAAGGGTTTTGGGTTGTTTAGTTGCTGAAAGAGTTGAAAAAGGTTATAAAATTCAAGTTTCATCACCAACCATCGAATGTATTAAAACACCATCAAAAATTCTTTGTGGTATTGATCGTATTTGGGTATTGCCATCTCATAGAAAACGTGGCATCGCTTTAAAGCTCATAGAATCACTCCGTTCAAACATGTATTATGGTTATCATTTAAAAAAGAATGAAATTGCAGTCACACAACCTTCAACCTCAGGTTTATCTTTTTTTACAAAATATTTTGAAACTGATCAGTTTTTATTATATAAAATAAATCAATAAATAAAATCAATATTTAAAATTTTAAAAAAAGTAAACGTGAATGTTATTCAATAAAATATAAAATAAAAATCAGAAAAAAGAATTTCAATGAATAAGATTAGCAATATTTTTTGTATTAATTGCTAACCATGAATTTTTGACATACCCCTTCAATAAGAATGGTGCAAAGGTTAACACTTTTATTAATTTTTTAGAAATTTAATTTTGAGCGAGATTAGCAATAAAAAATATTGTTTTTTAATATTAAATATATCATCCGGCTTTGGCGCAATGGTAGCGCGATTGACTGTAGTAATATCCTGTTATCAATCGGTTGCTAGTTCGAGTCTGGCAAGCCGGAATATTTTTTTAAGTATATCTTCCCAGAGATTTTATCTTCCAGGATGTGTAGTGTTGTAGGCAGCTTACGTTTCAAATGGTGCGTTAGGAGCCACGCATTGGTTAAAACTATGCAAATAAGAGGTGCTTTTAGGTGAAATAGACTAGTGTACAGAAACTGACATATAAATCAGTTGCGACAAATCAATGGAATGATGGAAATGGATGCCAATCAGGTTTAGGATGGTAGTTCTATAGGTTGCTGCGGCAGCTTACATTTCAATTGGTGCGTTAAAAAGCTAAAGATTAAAGTTTGGTACTTAGTGGTAAAATTATAAACAATATTCAGCCTAAATAATGATCCGAATCACACACGAATTGACGTTACCGTGCCCAACTTGTATGCAGTGTGGTAAAACTCATATAAGCATTAAACTGATGACTTAATATATCATTAAGAATCATCTTCACTTTTAAAAAAAAAAAAAAAAAAAAAAATAAATAATGAAGATAGAAACAGAATTACTAACCAAAATATTTTTATTATATTATTGGCTATGATACAGTTAATTTTTTTTTTTATTTTTTTATTATAATTGTTTTAAATCTATATTATAATTAATTAATTTGGTTTATAGAAATATTGATTGGTCTAATTGTGCCTGGATCTTTTTTACCATTTAATGGAGGGTGAGGTTTTTCATAGTCTTTGATTGCTCCAATAGTTGATTTAAATCTATAAATTGTTGCTGTTGTTGTTTTGATGGTGAATGAACATTAAAGTTTAATGGACTTCTTGAAGTGGTGAGTTTTGATATTCCCTAGTTTGATCAATAATTGCGAAAGCTTCAATGTCTTTTACCTTCTCTTCCTAAAACTATTTTATTTCTATCAAAGTTGCTTGGCCAGAGCGAGTTAATGATATTTATAAAAAAGTTGATTAGATTGATGGTGGTTCTACACTACTTGATTCAGACTCTACATTATTTGAGGTTTATAGAAATCCACATACGATTTACGAAACTTCCATATATAAATTATTCCTTAGTTCTACTTGATGAAAAATGATCTGCATTACTCTACCACATAATGAAATAAACTACACAAATTTTAAAGAACAGCTACAACTTGGTGAAACAGATTCCACTCTAATATTTGATGACAGGCTTTGAATTTCGACCACAGATACTATAAATACAACGGATATTGCACAACTTGACAAAGTAGGTCCCAAATTATTTGATGAGTTCGGAATATATACCACTTGACACTACTTTATTAAAAACAGAGGTTGATGAAATATGATTTTACATTATCGGATACAATAGACTCTATTACTTTGTCCAGAGATTATGCACAGCTTGATGAAGCAGATTTGGTTACCATACTTGATCTGCACTAAATATAATAAAAATTAATTTGTGTTAGTATTGTGTTCATCTATTCCTAATATAGATTTGTTATTTTTGTTTTAAAATAATGTGCTTATTTACTTACTTGAAGGCTTTTTAAAACTATTATTATTGACCTATCATTTTTTTTGAAATATTTATGTATTTTTTGTGTGATGCAAAAAATAAAATGAAATGAAAATTTTTTTTTTAAATAAAAAAATCAAAAATTTCAAATTTTTTTAAAATTTAAAAAAAGCTGGTGTGAGATTATTGGCAAAATAAATCGACTATACTGCATTGTTATTATTGAGTGTGATTATATATTACAACCTTGATAGAACTAAAATAATTTATTAAAATAAAAAATAAATAAAAAGATTATTAATATGGTTTAATATTAAATAAAAATATTAATAAAGATAACATACCCAAGTTATGATTTCTACTATGAAGGAAAATGCAACAGAGTGACAGCTACAATAAATTCACTAATTACACAGCTATTGAGATACTACTACTTAAAATATTGCTTGGACCACCATTTGACCGAGTATTTGACCCACCAATTGAACCACTACTTGACTACCATTTGACCGGTTACTTCAACCAACATTTAATGAAAATTACCACCTGAACCACTACTTGACCCATATGACCCATTATTTGAACCAACGTTTGAATTACGATGTAAAATACTACATGAACCACTACTTAACCAGTTACTTGAACCAACATTTAAAATACGACGCGAAGTAACACTTGAACCGCTAGTTAACCTGTTACTTGAACCAACATTTGAATTACGATGTGAAATACCACTACTTGCCTGATTACTTGGACTATTTGAACCCATATTTGAACCACACTTTACCGATTATTTGAATCACCATTTGGACCTTATATTGAATTTGCTATATGTTTTTAGATACGTTTGGACAATTGTTTCAGATGCTGCTTATAATTTTTCCAGATGACTAATGATGATTATTAATATATGTTTTAAATTAATTTTTAATAAAATATTATTTTACATACCATTTTCTGTCTATAAATTATTGATTAGGTGTACTAATACCGAAATTTATTAGACCAATGCCAAAACATGCTGTTACGAAATCTATTTTATTAAAAAAAATGAATTAATAAATTATAAAAAAATTATAAACAATAAAAAAAATAGAAAATATAATTATTTACCTTAAATGTTTTAAAATATTACCTTGAATTATTTTATATTTTGGACCATATTGTTATCTATACTATTTGACGTAAAGAACCATAGTGTTGCTCTGCATGGTGAGATAAAAAGATTACTTTATTTTTTTCAATTGATTTTGGAATAATTTCAATGAAAGAGCTGCTATCGGATTCAACTGAAGAAATTACGGTGATTTGAGATTTGAAAACCTCAGCAGCGGCGAGTAATGTTAAGTGGTCTCCCCATGTACCCCTTCTTGCCATTTGGTTGCAATACTTATTCCAATTTGTAGTAACTGCAAATTGGGATAATTTTGCACCATTTGAAAGAACGAGATTTTTATTTTTAATGAGCCATGTAGCAATAGCTCTTCTGATTTCGAAACTATGGTTCAAATCGCCATAAATTTGGTCAGATAATGCATGCATCTGACAATTGCCATCGCCTGGGATGTCCCTATTGTTCTCTAAACTGTAGAGCTCCAAACGTTCATTTAAACGTTGTATAGCTTCGTCTGCAGGTGGTGGTTGTGGAGTATTGACTGCCCTTAAGTCAATATCCATAGCTTCATATTGAACTTTATTATCAATAGACTGTGTGTTTGGTGGTGATTGTGATTGTTGTTGTTGTGATGGTGGTTGTTGTGGTTTTTGTTGATGTTGTTCTTTGTAATCACCTGTACTCTGTAATAATTTTTTATAAACTGGTGTTGATGTGGTGTGTTTTGGTTGTTGGAGTAGTTGTTGGAGAGGTTGTTGGTATGAGGGTGGGGGTGATTGTGATTGTGATTGTTGGTGTGGGTATGGGAGTTGGTTGATGATTGTTGGTTGGTTTTGTTGTGATGGTTGTGGTTGGTTGTTGATTGTTGATTGTTGGAGTTGGGGTGGGAGTTGGGGTGGTTGTGGTTTTTGGTGTTGATGTGGGAGTGGGAGTGTTTGTTGGTTGTTGATTGTTGGTTGTTGGATTGGTTGTGATTGTTGGATTGGTAGTGATTGTGGTTGTGTAATTTGTTGTGGTGGATTATTTTTTTTATGGAACTCTTTATAAAATTCGTCATCGTAGAAAAAGTCTTGGTCGTTCTCGGTTCCATCGGCGTAGTAGTATTTGGTGGTGTTATTTCTGGTTTTTTTAAAAAACCAATAAAAAATGAACAAAACAAAAAAACTAATTACAATAAAATACATTTTTTATATATTTACAAAAAATAAAATATTATTATTTAAAAATTAAAATAAAAACAAATAACTGTTATTATTAATTTGATGTGAATATATATTTTTTTTTTTTTTTTTTTAATATTATATACAAATAAAAAATAATTATTTACGAAAAATAAAAAATAAAAAATAATATAATAAAATATTGATTATGCTATGAGTGAAGTTGGGTGAAATATATAAAAAAATAGTGTGGTTATGAAAGCTATTATTTTTAATTAAAAAAAAAAAAAAAAATTTATTACAAATTTTTTTTTTAAAAATTAAATTATAAAAAAAATAAAAAAATATAATAAATTAAAAAAACAATATATTAAATAAAAAAAAATAAAATAAAAATATATAAATTTGAAAAAAATCATATAAATTGCGAACTTAACTTTTATATAGATTACTTTATAATCAGCAAAATATAGTAAAACATTCATTTTTATAAATAATTTTCAAATTTTATGAAATGGAGAATTGGATTACATTAATCAAAAAAAAAATTTCAATAATATTAATAACTATAATAATATAAAATTAGAAAAATAAAATTATATAATTCTTTAATATAGAAATCATATCCTAAAGTATTTAATTAAATAAAAAAATAAAATAACAAAAATTTTTTATGTGTCGATGATAAATTAGGTTTACCCCAAATTGGTAATTTTGCAAATTTTATTGCTACTTTAAAAAAAGTTTATTTACACTTATTTTATTTATTTTTTATTTATTTAATCTTTTATTTTTTCTTATATTTATTTATTTTTATTAAATAGTTTAATTTTTTTTTTTATGAAATGGTAGTTCTACACTACCTGATTCATATTCTATACTATTTGAGGTTTATAGAAATCCACACGATTTACGAAACTTCCATATATAAATTATTCCTTAGTTCTACTTGATGAAAAATGATCTGCATTACTCTACCACATAATGAAATAAACTACACAAATTTTAAAGAACAGCTACAACTTGGTGAAACAGATTCCACTTTAATATTTGATGACAGGTTTTGCATTACGACCACAGATACTATAAATACAACGGATATTGCACAACTTGACAAAGTAGGTTCCAAATTATTTGATGAGTTCGGAATATATACCACTTGATAAACAAATAATTCACCACCTGGGGTAAAAGATTCTTAAGCTCTACTTGATACAATGGGTTCTACACTTGATACAACTGATTCTAAGCTACTAATATATCATACATTTCTTGAATCAGGCTCTGCATCATTACTACTTAATGAAATAGGTTACCATACTTGATCTGCACTAAATATAATAAAAATTAATATATGTTAGTATTGTGTTCATCTATTCCTTATATTGATTTGTTATTTTTGTTTTAAAATAATGTGCTTAAATAGGTAGGAATCCCATTTTTATATAGATTTGTTGTTTTTGTTTAAATATAATAATGTGTTTATTTACTTACTTGAAGGCTTTTTAAAACTATAATTATTGACCTATCATTTTTTTGAAATATTTATTGTGTGATGCAAAAAATAAAATGAAGAAATATAAATTTTTTTAAAAATTAAAAAAAAGCTAACACAAGATTATTGGCTGAATAAATCGACTGCATTATTATTATGTTGAGTGTTATTATATATTACAACCTTGATAGAACTTGAAAATAATTAAATAAAATAAAAAACTAAATAAAAAGATTAATATAAATAGTTTAATATTAAATAAAAATATTTATAAAGATAATATACCTAAGTTATGATCACTACTATATAGGAAAATACAACAGGGCGACAGCTATCAATAACTCTTGAACCAATTGCATTTAATTCAAATAATTAAGTGCAAATAATTAAAATATTACTTGGACTACCATTTCACCAATTACTTTTACTACTATTTGAACTACTACTTAAAATATTAGTTGACCCACCAATTGAATCACTATTTGACTACCAATTGACCCGATTATTTGAAACAACGTTTGAATTATGATGTAAGCTACAATATGAACCTCTACTTTAAACCAACTTTTGAATTACGATGTGAATACCACTTGAACCACCACTTAACCAATTGCCTGAACCATACTTGATCGATTATTTGAACCACCATTTGAATTACGATGAAAATTACCACTTGAACCACACTTGACCGGTTGCTTGAACCAACATTTGAATTACGATGCGAACTACCACCCTGAACCACCACTTGTCCCATTACTTGAACAATTTGAACCACGCTTGATCGATTACTTAAACCACCATTGGGACCTTAAATTGAATTTGCTATAGGCTTTTTAATACGTTTGGGCTATTGCTCAGATGCTACTAATATTTTTTTCCAGATGACTAATGATGGTTATTAATATATGTTTAAAATTAATTTTAAAAAATAATATTATTTTACATACCATTTTCTGTCTATAAATTATTGATTAGGTCTACTAATACCGAAATTTATTAGACTAATGCCAAAACATGCTGTTACGAAATCTATTTTATTAAAAAATGAATTAATAAATTATAAAAAAATTATAAAAAATAGAAAATATAATTATTTACCTTTAATGTTTTTAAATATACCTCGAATTACTTTAATATTGGACCATAGCTTATTAGTTATAAAATTTGGCGTAAAGAACCATAATGTTGTTCTGCATGGTGAGACAAAATAATTACTCTAGAGTTTTCAACTGAACGTGGAGTGATTTCAATGAAAAAGCTGCTGTTAGATTCAACTGATGAAATAACGGTAATTTTAGATTTGAAGATTTCTGCAGCGGCGAGTAAAGTTAAGTGGTCTCCCCATGTACCCTTTCTTGCCATTTGGATGCAGTACTTATACCAAATAGTGGCATTGGCAAATTCGTATAATTTTGCACCATTTGAAAGGGTTAAGTTTTTATTTTTTATGAGCCATGTAACAATAGCTATTCTAATTTCCATATTATGGTTCAAATCACCATAAATTTGGTCAGATAGGGCATGCATCTGACAATTGCCATCACCTGGGATAGTTCTACTGTTCTCTAAATTGTAGAGCTCCAAACGTTCATTTAAAAGTTTTATAGCTTTATCTTCTGGTGGTGGTTGGGGAGTATTGACTGTCCCTGAGTCAATATCCATAGATTCATAATATTGAGCATTATGATCAATAAAATGTGTGTTTGGTGGTGATTGTTGTTGTGGAATTGGTGGTTGTGATTTTTTTAGTTGTTGTGATTGTTGTGGTTGTTGGGGTTGGAGTTGCTGACTAATTCTTTGGATGAATGGGATTTGTTGTTGTGATTGTGGTGGTTGTTGATGTTGGGGTTGTTGACGAATTAGCTGGATGAATGGGATTGGTCTTTGTGCAGAGGCAGAGGCAGATGATACAGATTCTGATGCTGATGGTGCTGATACAGATGATGCTGCAGATGATGCTGGTGTAGATGGTGCAGATACTGATGCAGATACAGATGATGCAGATTCTGATGCAGATGGTGCAGAAACAGATGAAGCAGGTTCAGATGATGCAGATACTGATGCCGATGGTGCAGAGACTGAGGTTGATGGTGCAGAGGTAGAGGAGTTTGGTGGGTCTTGATGAATTGGGGTTAAGTGTTCAATTAAATCATTGTTAACTGGGTGTGGGTCTTGAGTGTGGGTGCTATTATTGTTGTTTCTAATATTATTGTTATTATAATTGTTATTATTATTTCTATTGTAAATTTTGTTATTAATAAAAAAAGCTAATGAGAAACTAGTGATACCACATAAAAAGTAAAAAACAAGTAATAAATCCATTTTTAAATAAATAAATTAAGTTGTAAATTATTTTATAAATAAAAAAATATTGTTATTATTAAAAATTATTATTGTTATTATTAAAAATTATTTTATGTGCCGAATATTATAATGAAAAAAATAAAAATGTATGATTATTTGTATGTATATAAAATAATAAAGAAAAAAAAAAAAATAAAAAAAAAAAAAACTTTTTCAAAATACTATGAAAGAAAATTAAAAAAAAAAGTAAATTAAAAAAAAATTAAAAAATTTTAAACAGTGTTTAATGAAAAATGAAACAGTGTGGTTGGTCATGCAACTTGAAGAAAATAATATAATTACAAAAACTTCATTTGGTTCATGTCACACTAAAGTTTGCAATTTTATGAAATCATTATCACCACAAATTAATAAAAAGTTTGCCGGCGGAAATAGGATAGTTTTTTAAAAGCTTCATCTGAATAGTTGTCTTTGGAACTACAGTTTTTATCTGAATGAAGCAATAAATAATGCCTTTATTAATTCATCTTTTGTTGGTTTTTATTTTTTCAAGCCTTTTAATTTCTTCTTCTTCTTTGATTGTTGAATTCCATCTCTAAAATATGTGATTTGTTTTGAATCATTTGAATAAAAGTTTCTTTTTTGCTTTTGATATTTTTGATCTCTTCATTTTCTCTCATGTAATGTTTTAGTTTACATTCTAAACTTTCTATTATCTCTTTATACCTTTAAATATCATTTGAATATTTCTGTATAATTTGATCCTTTGCCTCAATTTCTTTATTTAAATTTTTATAAATTAAAATGATTTTATTTTGAAAAAATATTTTTTAAATTTTTTTAACTTTTTTCTATTTTTGCATAATTTTATATCTCTCATTTTGTTGTGTCCTCGGCTTTACATCAGGTTTTTTTGAGAATAGATTACCAACCATATAGATATTTTTTTGTGTATTAATTAATGTGTACAAATTATTAAAAAAAAAAAAAAAAATTTTTAAATTTATAAATAGCTTAATTAATTGACAATTATAATAATTTAAATAATAAATAACAAAAATAGTATATTTGGTATAATTTAATTATTATCAATTCAGAGTTAGATTATATGGTTCTGAATAACTACAATTATTAAATAATTTGTTTTATAATAAATTATGATGAAATAATGTAGATGTCAAAGGTGTTTTGTTAGTTATTATTTATTTATTATTTATTTATTATAATAATCCATACAATAATAAATTTTGATTACAATATTGTATTGTAATCAAAATATATTGTTGTATAGAGTATTATAATAAATAAATAAACTTAAATAAATATTTATATATAGATAATCATAAATAATCATTATTTATAAATTTTAAAACTATATATAAAAATAATTACTAATAATTGATATTTTGTAATATAGTTTTTTTTTTTTAATATATAGTTTGTTTTAAATTGAAATGAAAATTAAATTTTATTTTTTTTATACATTGGTAAATTTGTGAAAGATAAATCGTCTGAAGAAGTAATTTATACAACAAGATTATTTTATAAAATTAAATAAACACATTTTAGTAAAAAAATAAATTAAGAAAATAAACTCTGCCATAATCATTTTTTAGGTTAAACCTCTTTTCTTTTTTGCTTTGATGTTTATTTAAATAAATTAAATATTTTTCTTTTCTTTATTTATTTTTTTAACAAAATGTGTTTATTAATTTTATAAAAAATTCTTGTTGTTATAAATTATTTCTTTAGACGATTTATCTTTCACAAATTTACCAATGTTTAAAAAAAAAAAAATTTAATTTTCATTTCAATTTAAAACAAACTAAATATTAAAGATAAACACAAAAAAAAAGATAAACACAAAAAAAAAAATTAATCTAACTCTGAATCACATAAATAAAAGTTAGAATGCACAAAAAAATTAATAAGTTGTTAAATAAAAAAAAAAAATTTTGTTTTTTGTGTTAATCGGTTATTTTTTATTTCTTTTAATGGTTTCTTTTGATTTTTCACCAGTTTTCAGAGAATTTTTTAGAAAAATAAAAAAAACGTGCTTTGTGAAGATATTAATCACAATACATAAATTTTTTTTTAAAATTTTTTTTTATAAATAAAATATTTTTAATTTTTTTTTTTATTAAACACATAACCATTAAACAAATATAAATAAAATGCCACCAAAGCCATATATCACCAAATTAGACATTGAAGAAGTCCCAGTTGAAGAGTTAGTAGCTGTTACTGCTGATCAATAAAGGTAAATAATTTGATTGTTTTTTTTTTTTTTTTTATATACTAATTCCTGAATTTTTTTTAATAGATGCCGCTAATAAAGAAATTTACAAATAAATAAATATATTTCCAATATAATTTCTTTTTTGTATAATAAAATTTAATAGATTTATAATTTAATCTTTTTTTTTAATTTTTTTAAAACTTTTAGTTTATTTTGTTTTAAATATTTACAATATTAAAATGTATTAAGCCAAACTAAATAATATAAAAGCTTTATTATAATTAATCTTTTTGGGATAATTGTCTTTGAACCAAATTAAAATAAAGTCCATTTTGGTTTTTCATTAGTTGGTTATGAGAACCAAATTCGACAATTTTACCATGAGAAAGTACACCAATAGCATCGGCTGATTTAACGGTTGATAGACGATGGGCAATAATTAAAGTGGTACGACCTTTCATTAAATTTTGAAGTGCCTCTTGAACCAAATGTTCACTTTCTGAATCTAATGCACTTGTAGCTTCGTCTAAAATAATAATTTGTGGGTTTTTTAAAATTGCTCTTGCAATTGCAATTCTTTGTTTTTGACCACCACTTAATTGTACACCTCTTTAAAAACAATAAGAAAAGTTAATATAATTATTTAAAAACTTGTTTCATAAATAATATGAACTTACCTTTCTCCAACAACGGTATCATAACCATTAGGGAATATAGAGATAAATTGATGAGCATTTGCTAATTTTGCAGCTTCAATAATTTCTTCAAATGTTGCATTTGGATTACCATAACGAAGATTTTCTATAATTGAGGTAGCAAACAATGAAGGCTCTTGGCTAACAATACCAATTTTAGAACGTAACCATTTAGCATTTAATTTTTTAATTGAGATACCATCAATAAAAACCTCTCCACCACAAGTATCATAAAATCTTTCTAATAAACCAGCAACAGTTGATTTACCACCACCTGAGGAACCAGCCAAAGCAATAACTTGACCTGGATTTAAAGTTAAATTTAAACCATTTAAAACTTGAACATGTGGACGAGTTGGATATCTGAAATCGACATTCTTAAACTCTACGTGGCCTTTAAGATTCTTTAATTTATAACCTTTGTTAGAATTGATATGTGGAATACGATTGATCATTTCGGTAATTCTTTGCATACCACCCATTGCGCTCATAGTCTGTGTGAAGAGAATTGAAATCTGAGAGAATGAATGCTGCATATTCATAGTATGAATAATGAATGATGTTAATTGACCGCTTGTCATTTCGCCACGAGTAACCAATGTACCGCCATACCAGTAAACCAATAAAGATACAGCATTTAATGCCAACGATGTTATACCTTGGAAAATACCGATTTGAATACCAGACTCTGTAGAGAGTGACAATGATTTCTTATTCTTTTCTTTGAATCTATCAGCCTCGTAATGTTGATTTGAAAATGCTGTAACTGTTCTAACATTACCAATTGCCTCTTCAGCGACGATGGTCGATTGGGCTTGAGCAGCTTGTGAACGGATGCTAAGACTCTTTAACCAACCAGCATAAATAGTACCGATACTAACCATACTTGGTAAAATGGTCATCATACCAAAGGATAACTTTGGTGAAATTAATACCAACGATATTATACCACCTACAATTTGTCCAATCGATCTAACACCCAATGAAACCGAATGCTTTAGTGCAGATCTAACTAACTGAACATCGCTTGAAATACGATTGATAAGATCACCAGTTGAATTTTGATCAAAGAAACCAATTTCTTGCTCCAACATCGAAGAGAATAAAGTGTTTCTTAATTTTGATGAATATCTTTCGCAGGCTATAGAAATGAGGGTAGAATATAAGAAATTCAACGAAGCTTGAACCAATAATACAATGACAGCTTGTGTTGCTGGACCTTTTAACTCTTCACCATTCTTTGTGCAATCTACCAATTTACCAAACACCTTTGGAACCTGTAAACCAACCCAACTTGATGCAAATGCTGTAATAACACCAAAACAAAATAACCAAATATCGTTACCAATGGTTTTAAAAAACAACTTTAAGGGGCTAATTTTCTTATATTCTTTCTCGATTTCTTCTTTAATAATATTTTCATCTTGATCTTCATCTACTTTAATTATAATTTCTTTACTGTCATTATTATCTTCATATGGGTCGTTTAAAATTTCTTCTTTTTGACTCTCACTTTCACAAAAGACAATACCAATTTTATCACCATAGAATTTAAATACAATCAGTGAAAAACCAATCAAAACTATTAAATTTCCAATTTTTTTAATTTCGAAAATATTGATGTTACTATTATTACCGTTATTACCATTACCATTATTGCTACTATTGCTACTATTGTTTAATTTTATTAAATTTTCATTATTTTCTATATTTATATTATTTTTAATTATATTATTACATTTCTCTAAAAACTTATTATTTGATGAAAATTCTCTGTTTTTTATTAATTTGTTATTACTATTACTATTACTATTTAAAAATACATTTGTAATATTTCTTTTTGAACTATTGCTATAGATATTTGTATTGTTTATCTTTGGTTTATATGCTTTTATTTTTGATAATAAATTATATTTTATTAACTGATTCATTATTATTATGTTATTATAATTTAAAACCAATTAAATTAATATAATAATATTAAAAAAGAGATATGATTTCTTTTTTTTGATTATTGTTTTTTTTTTTTAATTAATTAATAAAAAAGGAAATTATAATGAAATTTTTATAAATTATATAAAAAATGATAAAAAAAAATTTAAAAAAATTTAAAAAAAAGACGAAAAAAAAAAATTTCATCATTTTTTTAAAAAAAATTGTTTTAAATTATAATTAATAATTTTAATTTTTACAATTATATTTATATCAAAAAATGGAGTTCTTTAATTTAGAACAACCAAATAATAAAATAATATTAAAAAAACTAATTGTAGATTCAAAAAATAAAGATCAAGTTAATAATTTTTATAATGATTTAAAAACTCATTGGTTTAATCAAAAGTTTGAAGTAATATTACCAATAAAAGGAACAACTAATGATGAGCCATTAGAAAAAATAAAAAAAACCAAAGGTAGTTTATTATCAAGACAATCATTATCAGGTAGATTAGTAGTAGAAGGTGAATTTGCATCATTATTTCAACAACACAACGAAAATTCATTACCACCAGAACCAGATCAATATGAACAACAAGAAGATGAAGAAGAAATTGAAGTAGATGATAATAATAATGATATGGATGATAATAGTAATAATAATAGCAACAGTGGCAATAACAATAATATTGAAATTAAAAAAAAAAAAACTAGAGGTGGTAAAAAGCACAGAAAGAAAACAGAAAATATTTTAAATGATAAACAATCATATTATCAAATAGAAACAACATTAGATTTAATACTATCACAAGAATTTTTAAATAAATATATTAGAACAGGTGGCTTCCATGCAATTTCTCAATTTAGTTATATAGATTCAGGAAATGTATTTGCAATTTTACCAAATGGTCAAATTATATTGAATTTAAATAAAGAAACATATCAAGATTTAGGTTTGGTTGGAAAGGCAAGCGTTTTTAAAAATACTGAAAGATATGTGATTACATTGGATTCAAAATCAAAAGAACTTTCACCAACTTCAAAATACTATTCTCGTTTAATTTGGGTATTAAAAGACAGAGTCTCACCAGTTACTTTAATATGCTATTATCTTAAAGACTATAACCAAGATTCAAAAAATTCGAGTATAATTCATCCAGTGCAATTTCCAAAAGGTGTCAAGGTTAAAAGAGTCTTTAATCAAGCAATACAAAATGTCGAAAAGTATCGTATACCAACTATTGAAATTATAAATCAATATTTAAACATTCCATCCGATGCCTCTGAGCAGCAACAACAAGAGCATCTAATCAAAAATAAATCAAAAGAAATGAAACTACTTTTACAAGATTTTGTAAATGAATTTGCAGAAATTTTAGGTTTAATATCAACAGAAAGCATTATCGACACTGACAGAGATTTAGAATTGGGAAACTCTTTACTATCAATGACACCCTTACCAACCGAAATATTTTCAGCTTCGTTAAAAGGTTTTGTTTCAAATTCTCTCATCATCGAAACCATTGGCAAAATTAAAATGTTAATCAAAAATGGGGCCATTGAATATGGTTGCATCAACATATTTGGTTTTCCTGATACTCCTATTTCTTGGGGTTCAATCGAACATAACTACCTTTATGGTGGCGAAAATGATCAATGTATTTTAATTTTACCAAATAATCAAATTTTATCTTTAAATTTAATTGGTACAATGGATTATTATTGTTAAAACCAAAAATAAAATAAATAAAATTGAATATTTTTTTTTTTTTTTTAATATTAAAATTAAAATAATAATAACAATCAAACAAAAAAGCAATCACATTTTAAAAAAATTAAAAATGATTCTATTGGTGTATGTGGTGTTTATGTTATAATTATTCATAGTGCAAAAAATATCTGTGAAAAATTAAAAAAAAAAAAAAAAAAAAATAAAATATTTTAAAATAAAAAACGGAATGATTAATTTTTTTTTTTTATTTTTTTATTTATTTTTTTGATCAATTTATTTATTATAATATAAAATAGTGGTTATATTTTAAAATCTTTGTTTTAAATCTCATCTTAATCTTTTTTTTTATAATAAAAAGGAAAAAGGATTAGAGTTTAAATTTTATTTGTTATTTGTGTTTTTTGTTTGTTTGTTTATTAGTAGTAGATAAAAGATTGCACACCTTTGTAAAAATAGTAAATTTTTAAATCCTTTATGTATATTTTTATATAAAAATATATCAATATACTATTGTATAATTAATTCCTAAAAAATAATATCAAAACTATTATTTGTTTTTTTTTTTTTTATAATTATTAATTAAAATTAAAATTAAAATTTTATTTTTTATAATTTTATTCCCACACACTACACATCACACACACATAACCAATTCAATACACACAACTAGGTACAAATAATTTAATTTATTTTTACACTTACACACACTTTCTCTTTCACAATAATACAACAAAAAAAAATTTATATAACATTCCAATTTTTTAATTTTTTTGTTTTTTCATCCAATATAAAAGATATAAATACACACACATATACACATATACGAAACAAAATAATCATCATAATTTTAAAATAAATAATTTTTATTTTTTGTACACCTATATTATTTATTTGTTTATTATTTTTTTTTAAATATTTGTTTGTTTGCTTGTTTATTATTAAATAATAATAATAGTATTATTAATACAAAAAGAGTTTGTTCACATTTTAAAAAAAAAATCCATTTTAGGAAACAAAAGAAAATATAAATAGTTTATATATATAATTTTGTTAATATTATTATAATAATATTTTAGATTGTTTGATTTTTTTAATTTTTGAACCAAACTCTGTGTATATATACCTCTATATGAATAAATAATAGTTTTTATAAATTATAAAATTTAAAATTTTATAATTTAATTTTAAAAAAAAAAAATGGTGCCACAATTAAGAGGAAGAGCCGGATCATTAGCAGACCCAAAAAATTTAAACGATTTAGAAAACTATTACAAGTCAATAAAGAAGAGTATTTTAGAGAATCAATTTGAATTTATAATTAAAAAAAAAGAAAAGAACAGAACATTACTTGTAAATTTAAAAGAGAAAAGTATACATATCTATAAGTAGGTAAAAAAAAATAAATGGTTATAATAATGTGTTTTATATATAAAACATATAAAACTGACAGATAATTTATTAAAATAATAAAGGTTATCAAAAAGAGGAAATAAAAAGAAATTTAAAAAATATTTAATTTCAGATATTGAAAAAATTTTAAAAGATAAACAAGATAATAAAGAAATTTTGGTATTTAGAAAATCAGGTAAAAAAGAATTAAAGTTATCATTTATAAATCCAGAAAGAAGGGAATGTTTTTACGAGTTAATATGGTTACTCATGCTAAATAAGCCATTGCCAATAGAAGAAGAAAAGGCATCGCACGATAGAATTCAAATATTTATTAGCACTTGGAATATGGGTGATGCTCCACCACCATACGATGAGGAAACTTTATCAACATGGATACCAAAAAACAAATACGATCTTTATGTTATTGGTGTTCAAGAGTGCGAATATACACCCAGAAAACAATTTCAAGAGTGTCAGGATGATTGGTTTTATACATTAGCATCTCATTTAGGTCATAGCTACTATAGGGTGGAAGGCACAAGTTTGGTTAAGATGAGAATAGTAATATTTGCAAAAAAAGAACACTACTACAAAATCAATTACATCGAAAAGAAGACTATAGGTACAGGTATTGGCAACATCTATGGAAATAAAGGTGCCACAATGATATCACTTCACTTTTTCGAAACTAGTTTTTGCTTTATCTCATCTCACTTTGCTGCTCACCAAGAGAAAACCGAAGCTAGAAATAACAACTATAAAGATATTGTAAAGGGTGTGGAAATGGGAAATGACGATTTGGATATTTTAAACCAATTCAACTATGTCTTTTGGATGGGTGATTTTAATTATCGTATCGATGGTTTATTTAGAGAAGAGGTTCTATTACATATCAAAAATAAAAATATTACAAAGCTTTTAAAATATGACCAACTTAGCAATCAAAAACAACAAGAAAAGGTATTTTTAGGTTTCAAAGAAGAGTTAATCAATTTTTTACCAACTTATAAAACCGAAAGAGGTATAGGTAAGAAAACGAATTTTTTAATACTCGCAACACAATATATATTATTTATTAACTTTTATTTTATTATAGAGAATTGCTATACAAATACTAAGCTTAGAATACCAAGTTGGTGTGATAGAATATTGTTTAAAACATTACCTTATTCACATCCTATAACTTGTACCGAATACAAAAGTGCAACAAAAGTTACAACAAGTGACCATGTGCCAGTATTTGGCGTCTATGAATCATTTGTTCGTATGCCTTGCTCACCCATTCCAATTACATTACTTTTGAGAAGATGTCAAATTTTCTTTTACGATTTAAGAGCTGAAGGTTTAGATCTTGTCGAAGATGATCGTCCACCCGATGCTCATATTGTCTTTGCCTCCAATTCTTTCATTCAAGATGATATTGTTATTACACATGCCTATAAGAACAGAAATCCTGTATTTGGTGATTTACCTCCAATCGTGCCAATCATCAGTAGACAAAGCTATTTAGAAACTCAACACTTATTTTTAACATTCTTCCATGAAGATATCAAATTAGGTCATGCTGCTGTTCCATTAGGTATTGGTTTTAACCCTACTCCTTTCTCTTTTAGAACCCGTATTACAAAAAATGGTTTAAATGCTGGTACTTTACTAGGTTCAATTCATATTGTTTATTTAGATAATCCAATCACCAGTAATGCAACTATAGTTGCAACAACCTCATCTTTAGGTAAATCGACACCTGAACTTATAAATACATACAATAGTAATAGTAATAATAGTTCACCCAATTCTTCAACACCACCTTTGCCACCAAGAACTTGGTTAATTAATAATAACAATAATAATAATAATAATACAACACCCCATAGTACTTCATCGACCACCACCACTAGTACTCCATCATCTACCACTACAACTTCTACCACCACTACAATATATCCTGCATATCCATCTTATTTAACATTAGAACCAAATTCAAACACAACAACACCTATTTTATCCCCAAACAAAAGCTCACCTCCACCAAATAACGTTAGGGAATATTTGGCACGTGGATTATCAACTGCTAGTATTGAATTGGATGATTATTCTGTAGATGATCATAATTCGATTGCTGGTAATTCACCACCCCAACATTTAAATTCGAATTTAAATCAACAATTAGAAAGAAAACATCAATTAAGAAGAAGTGTGTAAATAATAATAATAATAATAATAATAATAATAATACTATTAATAAAATTACAAAATGTAAAATTATAATTATTTTAGAAATATTAATTTTATTTTTAAAAATAAATTATAATTGTAAAAAAAAAAAAAAAGACTATTGTATCTATGTATGTTTTTATTAGATTTTTTAAAACTATTTTCTTTTTTTTATTATATTTTTTATTGTTTTTCGATTACTTTAATTTTATAAAATAATTTGATTTTATTGTTGTTATATTATTATTTGTTGTATATTATTATTTGTTGATATTTTTACTATTTTTAAACTTTATTATTTATATATACAGAAAGATAGAAGTTGTGCTATCTTATCTTGATAAAAAAACTGTATTTAAACAAATTAATGATCATGGTGGTCCCATGGATATGAAATACCCTAAAAATAATAAATAATAAACGTGTTAATATTATTTTATTAATAATTATGAAAATGGTTTATAGCTATATATTGTTTATTGGTTTATGCTAAATATTGTTTATTTTTATCTATTTGAATTGAATATTAATATTACTATTATTATTATTATTATTATTATTATTATTATTATTATTATTATTATTATTATTATTATTATTATTATTATTATTATTATTATTATTATTATTATTATTATTATTGGTAGTGATTATATTAAAAAGTTTTAAAAATATTTATTATTGACGATAAACCACAAAATGTTTTTTTATGAAAATTTACAATGAAAGTTCTCCAATCTTGTTTAGCTCTATAGAAAACCCAGAACCATAAAGGGGTACCTAAACCAATTGAAAGTAATTTGTGTGATTTTGAAACGTGAAATGGTTGATGCCCCCCAGCCATTGTTTTATATCTGTATAAATGAAAAAAGGAAATGAAAAAAAAAAAATTTTAAAAAAAATTTTAAAAAAAAAAAAAAAAAAAAAATTTAAAAAAAATAAAAAAAAAAAAAGAAAAAAAATTATATTTTATTTATTTTTTAAATTTAAAAAAAAATGATTAACCAATGTTTTTGATAATAGTTTACAATTTTTATTTAAAGCACTAAATGACATTTAAGGTCTTTTTAAAATATTTTTTTTTTTGGAAAAATAAATTTTATTTAATTTGTCTTTTATTTAAATATTCATCAAAAGATAAAATATTTTTATATTTTGAATTATCAGATTTAATAATATTTGCAGGAATGATTGGTCTTTTCTTTTTCATTGGATTTACTTGTAAAACTTTATTTGATGTATCTGGTATGGTTATATTTAAATCAATAGATTTGTGAATATTTACTAAAGATTTTGTAGATTGTTCGTCCTTTAAATAGTTTGATTTGGCTGGGGTTGATGCTGGGGTTGATTGAGATTGTTTTGTTGGGGTTGATTCTTTTGGTGATAAAGCAGCAGATAAAGTTGAGGCGTTTGGATTGTTTTCCAAGTCAGCTTCAGCAGCAACTACAGCGTTTGATCTTGTTTTTCTTCTAGCGAATGGATCAAATTCATTACTAACTATTTCTTGGGTGGATGTACCAGCGCTTTGGGAGTATTGGAAATTTAATGATTTATTCTTTTTATTGATTAATGATACCAATTTTTCTGTTTCGGTCATTGATTCTTCCTTTTGTTCAGTTGCTAACTTATTGAGTTCTTCAATACGTTCTACAGTAGTTTTATACTCTGTGGAGTCGACGTCTAAAGTTTCACGAAGAGCAATTAATTTAGCCTTTTCAAAAGCAATGTTGTGTGGAGTTTTTTGATATTTCATACGTTCTTGAGCTCTCTTTTCGATATCTTCGTTTGTATAAATATATTCTTGAGCTTTTTTGATATCACCAATTTTCTTTTCAATTGATTCTGGAGTTGGAAGTTTCTTTTCTGAACGGATCATATCAGATATCCATTTTTCGTGTTCGGCTTGTGTGATGACATTATTTGAAACATTTTCAATGCCAAACTCTTTACAGGAGCCTGCATATGATAAAAGTAAGAGTTTATCGGTTTCTTTGTTCTCTACTTTATATAACTTGTGGCCTCTACGTACTTCGACAATCTCTGCAATTCTATAGATTGGACTATTTAAATGTGAGCCAATTACAACTCTAACGAAAAACCCTGGTGCTAAAGTTTCAAAGTATGGTTGATCGACCCATTTTACCAACATATTTCTTGATAATCTACAGTGGTTCATTAAGTGAATTGTAAGAGTGTCAATTGATTTTTGAATATCCTTGTCCATTTCTCTTTCTTTTTCACGTATATTTCTTTCACGTTCTTGATCTTGTTTTTGTTTTAATCTTTGTGATGCTGATGAAATTGGTGAAGTTGTTGATGCTGTACCACCGCTAGATTGTTGAGATGATTCGACTGCTAGTTCGTATGATTCGTCTTCTTTATCTTTTTTAGACTTTTCCCTCTTTCTTTGAATATCTTTTAATGCTTCTTTTTTGTTGTCATCTTTATTGTCACCACGGGATCTAGTTGAGGATGATATTTTATATTTATCGCTTGATGTTGCAGTATTTGAGCTAGTGCCTGAGCTTTTTTTCTCTTTCTCTTTTAATTTTTCTCTTTGCCAACGTTCTCTTGCTTCTTTTCTTTTTTCATATCTACCTGCTAAAATTTGTTCTCTTTCAACTTCTGGTAATTTTGATAATTCGATTCTATCATCATCATCTTTATAAAGATCTTCATCATAATCATCATAAAAGTCGTCGTCATTCTGTTCAATTGGTGCACCTCTATTTCTACCACCTCTGCTATATGATATCGAGGATGATTGCAATGAAGTTGAACCTTTCTTTCTTCCTGGAGTTGAACCTGTTTTTTTTCTTTTATTTGTTGATTTTTCTTCATAATCTTCGTCACTTGATTCTGTAGATTTATTCTTTAAATACATTTTTTAATATTAGTATATTATAGATATTTACTTTTTATTTTTTCATTTTTTAATATCCTTACCCTTTTATTTGATTTCTTTTCAGTTAACATCAATAACTCCTCATCTAAATCATCCATTTCTTCGTCATCCGAACCTCTTCCTCTTGCCATTTTAATTTTTAAATTAAGTTTGATATATATTTATTAAAAATGGTTTTATTATTACAACAAATTAAAAAATTTAAAAAAAAAAAAAAAAAAAAAAAAAAAAATTTTGAAATGAAACAAAATTTAAAAAAAAAAATGAAAATAAAAATATTTTTTATTTTTTTTAAAATTTTTTTTTAAAAATTATTAAAATATATAAATTTTTAATATATCTTTTATTATAATTAGTTTTAACACTTTGATTTAATACTGTTGCTATATATATATTCCATATCTTTCATTATTATAATTATAAAACCCTATAAAAGTGCAATAGAGGTTCCTTTATAATAATACATGTATTTTGATGGAATTGAAAAACGACCGATTCTAAAAAATCTTTAAACCAAGTTCTAACCGTAAAATTGATTTCATTCCTATTATTTTTATTAGAATTTTTATTTTTATTTTTGTTACTATAGTTTGTAATTTTTATTATTATTTTTCAAGGTTGAATTAAATTTTCTACTGTTATAACTTTAAATTTTTTTAATTGAAACATTGTTCAAGAAACTTGAGCCTTTGTCTGATAATAATTTCTCCATATTTTAAATATATTTGATAAAATAAAACTATTGTGATTTTTTGGAGTTTGATCAATAGTAAATAAAATTCAGTGATCTCTACTTGTTAATCTAAAATAGTTCTTTAGAGTTCTATCATAGCTGCCTGGCCAGAAATAAATTTCTGCTGATTTACTCAAGTTTGAAACATTTTCTGCATTACTACCACTAGCTGGTGTTAAAGATTCTACCCAGTACTATTTTGTCCAGATTCTTGTACATTAAAATAATCAAATATATTGATATTTATTGTTTTATTTACTGCAATAATAATTGTTTGTAAAATTTTATAATATGAACTAAATGAAATATTGTAAGCTTGAGATAGATGTGGCAGTATTTAATTTGTTTTTATATTTCAATTAGACTGGTGTATTAGGTTTCTGTCTTTTTTACTCGAGCTGTTTTTTTTGTAGCGTTGAAATGGTTGTAGGATAAACCAAACTATTTATAATACCTTTATAAAAATCAAAAATGGTAGGTATTTATTTAAAAATATTAATAAATAATATTTAAATTATTAAGTTTTTATTATTTCATTTGAAAAGCTAAAATATTTAAATTATATTAATTAATAATCATAATTTTTTTCTTAAAATAAAAATAAAAAAAAATAAAAAAAATATTTTTTTCATTTTTTAAATTTTTTCGATTATAAATTTTTATTTTAAGCTTATCTTCCTCACAATAAATTTTTATTTTTGTTTCTCTAAAAGAGAAATAAATATTCAATATGATATCATATCCACTAACTTTAACAATAATAATAGCATTTGTAATTTTTTAATCTTTTGGAACTGGAATTTTTTTTTTTATTTTTTTTTTTATATTAATAATTTTTTAATCTTTTACCATACCATATAAAATAAACTAAAAAAATTAATAATAATAATTAATAATGCACAGATAAAAAGTATGTTTCAACAAAAATAAAATTAATAGCACTGTTTACATAATTCTTTTTAATAATATAATTAAAATAAAAAAAAAAAGATTTAATTTCAAACTCGATTACCAGGGTTATATTTATATTTTTATAAATGACTTTGAAGAAATATAATAATTATTAGATTTCTTTTTTTTTTTTTATAATTATAATTATTTTTCATTTGTTATTTAAAACAGAAAACAGAAAAAACAAAAAAAAAAATAAAATTAAAAATTAAAAACTAAAAACTAAAAAACTTTAAAACTAAAAAAAAACAATAAATTTACCAGTTTGTTTTTTTTTTTTTTTTCAATTTAAAAAATCCTTTTTTTTTTTTTTTTTTTCATTATTCGCTTTCATTTTTTAATTAGTTATTAATGTAGAAAGATGATGATTAAAGTATCATTAGTATTACTGTTATCATTATTTGGAATTGTATATTCTCAAAAACCAAATTATTGCCAAGCAAATTGTAGTGTTTTTAATAATAATTTATAAATATAAAATAGTTACTAATTTTTCATAAATTTTTCATTTTTATTTTTTGTTTATTATAGTACCAAAACCATCATTAAATACAAATGGATTATCATTAGAAATGGTTCAGGTCTTACTTAGACATGGTGATAGAACTCCACTTTATAGCAACCTTAGTCCAGATATGTCAATATGGGATTGTGATTTAGGTTGGTTTATGTCCCCAAGTTTTGAAAATATACCAGGACCAATTACAGATATTAATAGATTATATAGAAAAGTATATATGCCAAATAGAGAGTTTTTACCAGGTAATTGCTCAAAGGGTCAATTAACTTCATTGGGTTTTGCACAACATATTCAATTAGGCCAAACTTTGCGTGAACTCTATGTAGATAAATATCAATTATTACCAAATCAATATACACAAGATCAAACTAAAATTTGGGTACGTTCAACTGATGTCCCAAGAACTTTACAATCAGCACAAGCCCATTTAACTGGTCTTTTCCCACCACAACCAACTAATGGTGAACCAATCCCAGTCATTAATATTAACACTATGGACCCAGATTTCGAAAATATGCAACCAAATAATAGACTTTGTCCAGTAATTTCAATGATGGAGTATAACGCCACCAAAACTCCAGAGTACCAAGAATTTATTAAAAACACAACCCAATTAAAGACTCAAATTATGAATGCTCTTGGTGTAAAAAGTTTCCCAGCCTATGGTTGGTATTCATTTATGGATTTATTCTATTCTCTTCAATGCCACGATTTACCACTTCCACCAGGTATTACTCAAGAAATGGTTGATGGTGCTTATGAAGCTGCCCTTTGGGATTACACCTATAAATTCTCTTTTCCAATGTATTCACGTCTAGGTATGTCAACTTTCTTAGAGGAGTTACTCGAAAACATTGGAAACTATATCCAAAATACAGATGATACAAAATATTATCTTTTCTCTGGTCATGATACTACCATTGGAGCAATAGCTAATCTTTTCGGTTTATTGGGTGAATGGCCATCATATGCATCACATATCGAAATGGAGTTGTGGTCAAATTCAAATAGTAAGAATTAACATATTTATAATAGTAATAACAATATTTTTTTATAAAATTATTATAATACTAATTGTTTTTTTTTTTTATATTTAGAAAACTATTTCCTTCAATTTAAATATAATGGTGAATCATTCCAATTAAACGGTTGTGGTGATATCATGTGTCCAATAGAAACATTCTTTAACATTGCAAACTCTCTTATTGTCCCAAATTATTCAGATATTTGTTCCAATTAAAAAAAAAAAAAAACCAAATAATTGTAATAAAAATAAATAAAAAATTTTAAACTTATTATATGTATAAAGACAATTTAAAAAAGATTTTTATTCCTTTGAATTTTTATTTATTGATTAAATAATGTTTATTAGTAATCTATATAAGCACTGGTATAATTAGTTTTTATTTTAATTAATATTTGATTTAAAAATTATTTTAGTTTTTTTATTTTATTTTTTTTAATTTTTTTTTAATTTTTTTTATTTTTATTTTTTAATGCCCCACAACGGATCAAAATAAAAGGAAAAAAAAGATTTAACAAACACACCATGGATCAAAATAACAGAAAAAAAAAGATTTAACACAATAACACCAATAGCAATACAAATAACAATAATAATGATAATTTAAACTCATTTAAAAAATATAAAAGTACTGATGGTGGTTTAGAATTTGATTTTATTAATACATCATCGAATACACCGAGTTTGGTTTTTACATCAAATAAAGTTACTAATAGCGGTGAAGCTTCATTCTGGAAGATATTTAGAAATAAAATTTTATTCAAATTAATATTTTCAAATTTCATATTCAAAGAGTTATTCAGCTATGATGATTTAATAAGTTCTCATTCTATCTTTAGAGGTTTTAGTAATGGTGATGCAATTATTAGAGATAAAATAAAAAGTAGAAATTTTATAATTAATGATTTTAATTATATAGAATTTGTCATTAGCAAAATCACCAAAGATACCAAAGAGAACAGAGAATTCTATAGACAATTATTTTCAACAAACCAATACCACAACCCAAATGATAACAATAATTTCAGCGACTATTCATTTTGGGTACAAATATTTGCAAATGAAAAAAATAAAACCGCATTTCTCGAATACAATAAGCTTTTTCAAATAGATAAAAGAAATATTTCAGTAGATTTAAATGACACCAGTTTTAAAAATAAAAGATTAAAACATTTAAAGATGAAACCTTTTTTAGAATAAAATGGAGTTACAGTTACTGAATTGTTCTCGATATCATTGAAAACTTTGCATATTCACAAAAATTCAATGAACTCATTTTATGAGTTACAAGTTTATTATCGCACAAAACTACAAACCAAAAGAAAAATACAACAATATAGTACACAACTAATTAGAAATAAATCAATTTAATAATATACAATTAAAATCAACTATTAATACCATATCGCACTACTATATTTTGAAATAACTTATGTGGCAAAACTTGAACCGCTTTTACAATAACAAAATAAAAGAATATTCTTTTTCAAAAAACAGTTCTATTTAAAAAAACCTTTAGAAATAATCTAATAAAATAAATTTTTTATAAAAATAAGTTTAAACTATTATCAATACTCGACACTCCAAAAAAATCCAGCAAAAGTAGCTCTTTCCATTTTTTTTTTATAATTAAATTTAAAATTAGGTTACAATAAGTATAATTATTTAAGAAAAAAAATTATATATATATAATTGGTTAAAATAAAGGGTAAAATTGAGTCAAAAGTTAATGTAATGGGTTCATTGTTGGTTCAAGTAGTTGGTTAACTATTAATCAAATCAAATATTTGATGAATTTCAATAAAACTCAAATATATTTAAAGTATCCCCAAAGAAATAAGTATTCAACTTTAATTAAATCAATAAATATATAAAATAAAATATCTTTTCTTTTATTTTTTTACATTTTTTAATTTTTTTTTGTATTTTTGAAAAGATTTAAATAAAAAATTCTTGTGATGAGTCTTGTTGTTGATCAAGTGTCTCTTCTTGTTTATATTGATCTTGTGTTAGTGATGGTGACTTTGGTGTTTGTGGAGGAGAGATTGGAGTTTGATAGTATTTTCAATCGCAGTCAAAATTATCAATTTCATCAAACGACTCATCGTTTTCTTATTATTGTGTAGTTGTTGTTAATATTTAGACTATTTGGTAAGGAGCCGGGTGGAATTAGTTGGTTAATTTTATTACCAATTTTGATTGTTGTGAGACTATTTGGTAATGGGTTGGGTAGAATTACTTGGTTAAAACGATAACCGAATGTGAGTGTTGTGAGATTATTTGGTAATGTGCCCGGTGAAATTACTTGGTTAAAATCAAAACTGAATGTGAGTGTTGTGAGACTATTTGGTAATGAGCCAGGTGGAACAACTTGGTTAAATAAAGAACCAAATGTGAGTGTTGTGAGACTGTTTGGTAATGAGCCGGGTGGAACAACTTGGTTAAATGAAGAACCAAATGTGAGTGTTGTGAGACTATTTGGTAATGAGCCGGGTGGAACAACTTGGTTAAATGAAGAACCAAATGTGAGTGTAGTGAGACTATTTGGTAACGAGCCGGGTGAAACTACTTGGCTAAATTTTTCACCAAATGTGAGTGTTGTGAGACTATTTGGTAATGAGCTGGGTAGAATAACTTGATTAAAATCATTACCGAATGTGAGTGTTGTGAGACTATTTGGTAATGAGTTGGGAAGAATTACTTGGTTAAAACCATTACCGAATGTGAGTGTAGTGAGGCTATTTGGTAATGAGCCGGGTAGAATTCCTTGGTTAAAATTATCACGGAATGTGAGTGTTGTGAGATTATTTGGTAATGTGCCGGGCTGAACTACTTGGTTAAAATGAAAACTGAATTTGAGTGTTGTGAGACTATTTGGTAATGAGCCGGGTAGAACTACTTGGTTAGATAAAGAATCAAATGTGAGTGTTGTGAGACTACTTGGCAATGAGCCGGGTAGAATTACTTGGTTAAAATTATAACCGAATGTGAGTGTTGTGAGACTATTTGGTAATGAGCCGGGTGAAATTACTTTGTTAAAATCAAAACCGAATGTGAGTGTTGTGAGACTATTTGGTAATGAGCCGGGTAGAATAACTTGGTTAAAACCATTACCGAATGTGAGTGTTGTGAGACTATTTGGTAATGAGTTGGGCAGAACAACTTGGTTAAAAATATCACCAAATGTGAGTGTAGTGAGACTATCTGGTAATGAGTTGGGTAGAATTTCTTGGTTAAAATCATAACCGAATGTGAGTTTTGTGAGACTATTTGGTAATGAGTTGGGTGGAATTACTCGGTTAAAACAATGACCGAATGTAAGGGTTGTGAGACTATTTGGTAATGATCCAGATTTAATTTCTTGGTTAAATTTTTGACTGAATGTGAGTGTTGTGAGACTATTTGGTAATGTACCAAAATTTTTGTTAAATTTAGAATATGATTTAATATTATGACCTTGTTTAAATAAAGAACCAAATGTGAGACTATCTGGTAATGAGCCGGGTAGAATTCCTTCGTTAAAATTATCACCGAATGTGAGTGTTGTAAGACTATTTGGTAATGTGCCTTGTGGAATAATTTGGTCAAAATCATCACCGAATATAAGTGTAGTAATTGTATTTGGTAAAGTTTGAGTTAGCCTTTTAGAAAAACTGTGCAAATATAAATGTGTCAAAAATGGTGGAAATTGACTTGTATCTGGTAGTGGATCACGACACCACTTAAGTTTTGTTATATATGATTTATTTGTAAACTGGTCAAAACGTGATCTATCAAGAACCACAACCCTATGTTCAATAAACTTTAAAATATGTTTATAAATTTCAACTCTTATTACTTTATTATTCAAAGCTTTATATAATAATCTATAATAAATAGTTAAAAAGAGAAACACCAATTAATATGCTTTTAATTAATCTATTATTTATATTTATTGTATTGTATTGTAATTACCTATCACTAATATTACTACTATTTTTTAACTCTTCATTTATCTCGAAAGATTCATCTGAGAGAGCTATTATCTTGCTTAGAAGCTTATCCATTATTAATATAAAAAAAAAAATGGATAAAAAAATAAATTTTAAATTAAAATTAATTTTTAAAAAAAAATTTCCCAAAAAAAAATTACAAAAATTAAAAATAAAAAAATTATTATTTGAAAGAAATTTTTAAAAATTATTTTAAAATTGTGGTAATTATTAAGTTTAAACTCATGATAAATGTTAATGGAGTTATACTGTAGAATTATGATTTTGAGTGTGATATTTTATATTATGAAATATTATTAATCCTACTGCTCATTAAATTGTTCGATTATATATAATTTCATTATTATATATATTTTCAATAATTTTTTTTTTTTTTTTTTAGTTTCATTATTTCTAATCATACAATCAATACAATTACCACAAAAATTTATTTAGGTTTAATATTTCTATTTTTAATAATTTGTCAAAATTTTTAAAAAATTTTTTTTAAAAAATAATTAAAAAAATAAAATAATTAAAAAAATATTTAAAATAAAATATGATATATTTTTAATTTAATAATAATATTACTGCAACATTTTAAATTATAAAAAAATCTATTTATCAAATGTGATTAATTTCAAAATAATCTATGGTTATAAAACAACAATAACAATCAACATATATAGAATTTGATATAGTAATAATTTTTAAAATAGTGAAAAGATTAACCATTTTAATTTTTATTTTTAGTTCACTATTTATTGTTTGAAGCTGCCATGTTAAAAATATTATAACTCAACAAAATTCAACAATTCAATCTATAAATCTGAAAATAAAATTGAAGATGAGGGTGCTGCTTTCTTATTAAATACATAAAACAACAACAAAACTCTAATTCTTCTTTCTAATTATCTTTACAAAATTTGGTATTTTAAAAAATACCTAAAAAAAAAAAAATTAAATTATAAATACAGTTAGTGTAATAAATAATAATAAAAATAATCATTAAATTAAATCAGAAAAAAAATTTATATATAAATAATCATCACAAAAATTTGTGGTGTTTTTTTTTCAGTGTTATTATTATATATTTAATATATAATGTAATATTAGTTAATATAATTGTTTATTATGACTCTGTTAAAGTAACTTTTAATGGTTTTGCTTGGTCAATGAGACTTCGTTATATAATGGAAAACGCTGCCACTATTGATGAAGCTGTCTCACTTTGGGAATCTACCAATAATACTATGGGTATGAGTCACAGTCTTGCTAGTGCTACCGAAATTCAAACTGCTCAATATCCAGCATATGCTTTAGAAACTATGAAAGGTTACACTGCTTTCTTTTATGATAACGATCCAAATGAACACTTCACCTACTCTGACCCAAAAACTGGCGCTCAAACTCAAATGGGTTATCCAATGAAGGATGCTGTCTATCGCACAAATCATGGTTATGATGAAACCATTCGTAAATATGAATGGGAGCCATCCATCCCAAATGATGATTCTTGGACTCGTTACATGTTATTATATACATCATTTAGCTATTATGAAAATGCTGATATTTCAATCTCTGATCTTGAAGCCATCAACATCACTTCAATTTTAGGTAATAAACATAGTATTCAAAATACCTATACCACTTCCCGAGCCATTTTATGATTGCACAAATGCTTGAATGGGTTATAATATCGTCTCTGCTACTTATCACTTTGCTGCCAATAAAATGTTTGTTGCTTTTGAAGAAGGCTTTGGTCAACAAAGAGTTTGTGCTGCTTGTGGTACTTATGTTGAAGTTGATTTATCACCATGGTTTGTGTTAAATAATTAAAATAATATAATATTATAGCTTAAAAAAGCAATAGTTGTCTAAAATAAAATTTATTAAAAATATCAAAACTTTATATTAAATAATGTAATAATTTTTATTAAAAATATCAAAAATTTATATTACATAATACAGTAATAATTTTTTTTATTTTATTTAATTTAAAATTTTAAATAATAATTGTTTGTATTTTCTTCATTTGAATTAATCCTGGGAGGCCAATTAGATTTAAAACTATACAATTTTTTGATTTCTATTTCTTTTCTATTCTTATAAACTGCTTGTTCCAAACCATATACAATACTTGAGGTGTTAATTTAGTTTTTCATTCCATCTTTCCCTTTTTGCTTTTTCTTTGGATAATGTCACTTTAAAATCTATTTCTTCTTTTCAATTGACCCCTGCTTTTGGAAGAACTGGAGCTATTCTTATTTGAAATGTTGATAAAGATGTGATTTTTTCTTGGATGATGAAGTTGACTTTCTTAAATTTAACGATTTAATAATTGAAACATAGAATGAAACGATTTTATTAATAATCTGGTCTTCATCTATTTCTTAAAAAGAAATATAGAATGAATTATCAAAACTATTAATTTAATCGCCTTCGATTTCAATAGTAATCCGTTTCAAAATCTAAAAGATCTTCTTCATTTTCATCTTCATCTTTATTATATTGTTGAGCTCTTACAACTTTTGGTACATAGCCAGTACGATGAATATTTTCTTTTTGTATTTAAGATGATGAGTCAATTGGTGATGCTGGGGTGATGATTTTTCTTCATGTTCTTCTTGTAAATTTTCTGAAGCTGATGATTCATTATTATAGTTATTTGAAAAATGTTATTTTCTTTTCTGGTTCTTATTATGGTGATGAAACTGATAAATCATTAAAATCTTGAACTTGATTATCAATTTGATTTAAACTCATTGAAATTGGTACATTATTTTCACCTGATAACCATTCTTTTGAAGACTATTAAAAAAAATTAGAATCAATTTTTTTTTTTAAATTTTTTAAAAAATTATAATTATAATTATACTTACTAAATATGGTTGAAATAGAATTTGGTAATAAATCATCAGCAAATTGTGATTTTACCATTGAAAAAATGATTGGAGTAATATTGTTTGGAGTTGCTTTTAATAAACGATCTATTTCTACTTCCATAATATTCAAAACTCTTTTTGGAATTGCACAAATACTTTTCTTTTTACTGAACTACTCTATAGCGAAACATTTCTTTCTATCATCTTTGAGAACCAATGGTGGCAATGAATGGTGAATTACTTTAGCAAATACAACGAGATGGTTTAACACATTAATTACAAACAACTACTTGAAATGATTCACGTGGATCAATAACTCTATTCTTAAAATCTTTACCGGTAGCAAATATTAAACTAAATATATTACATATCATTAACATTAGGCATAGAAAAGCAAACTGGATTGTTGATAAATTGACCTAAACTATTCTTTACCACCAGGATGAATACAAAAAATGGAATTGAACGATCTAATTAGAACTCTTCTTTAATTACTTTTAATTTTCTATTGATTTGATTCTATCTTGTTTTAAATTGGCTTACTACCTAGAATAAGCACCCATACACATTTATTCGGTACAACTAATATTACATCAACTAAAGAATTTTTTTTAAATAATAATTACTTAAAAATATCTCCAAAAAAAATGTTGTTGTTTTTGTTGTTGTAGTCTTTGTAGCTTTTGTTGATGTAGTTGTTCTAGTTGTTGTAGATGTTGTTGTTGAATTTGAAAAATTAGATGTTCTTGTTGAATTTTTTGATGTTGTTGTTGTCTTTGTCTTTCTTGTTCTTGTTGTTGGTATAGTTGTTGTTTTTCTAGTTGTTGTTGTTGACGTAGTTTCATTATCTGGTGTTGTTGTTTATATGGTAGTTCATGTTGTTGTTGTTGTTTTGTTTGTTGTTGGTATAGTCGTAGATTTTGTTGTACTTGTTCATTATCGAGGGTAGATCTTTCAAATGAGTGTATACTTTGTAGTCTGTCACGATAGTGTCTCTGATCGTTTCCAAGATGTAGACTTTCTATATGTACCTTTTCCCAGAAGTCGGAATTAAAGGCACAAAGTGGGCAGTATTCCCCTTTAATGGTAGAGCAACGGCAACGGGAACGGCAATGGTTGTTTTTCTTGAAGATGAACTTTCCAAAACAATAATAAAAAATTGCACCAACAACAATAAATAAAATGCACAATAATAAAATTTGAATCATTTTTTTTAAAAAAATAAATAATTATTTAAAATAAAATTAAATGTATATAAGTGTAAAAAATAAAAAAATAAATTATATGATTTAATGTATAAAAAAAATAAAAGATGGATGTAAAAAAATGAGTGTGAGTGAATGAAAACTTTAATTTTAATAAATGAAAAAAAAAAAAGAAATTTAAAAATTTTTAAAAAAAAATAAATTAAAAAATAAATTAAAAAATATAAAAAAATCAATTGTTTAATAATGTTTTTATTAAATTATTATAATTTATATTATTTAATTTGATATAGCTGTATAGGTTTTATTTTATTTTTATAGTTTTAAATTGAGAATTATAATTTATTCTATATTTTGATTTAAAAATTTCATTAAATTCTCTCTTAAATGATATCCTGAATACCTAGATAATTGTAAAAAAATGATTTAAAAAAAAAATATTAATTAATTTCAAATATTATTTCTATATCGTTTAATACTTTATAAGTTTAATTCCGATGAATAAATATTATTATTATCTATTTATAAAAAATTTTTTATTTTTAATTTACTTTTATTTTAATTTTATTATTAGTTTTTGAAATTCGACTTCATAATTATTAAAAAAAATTATTGTATTTTATATGAATAGTTTTATTTTTTATTAATAATTATCTAGTTTAATTAGTAATCTTTTATATATTTGTTAACAAAAATATTTATTACATATTTTATTTTTATTTTTTTTTAAATAAAAAATAAAAAAACATTTTAAATTATAAATAAAACATTGGGAACATTATCATTTATATTTATTTACACATTTTATTATAAAAGAAATAAAACATTCATTTATTTGTTATGTAAATATTAAAAAAATAACCTTTTTAATAATTTAAAATTACAATAATTTTTTCACCCATTTCCCACTGCATATAATTTATTTTTCATTTATATTTTATTAAAAAAAACTTTTCTCCTATTAGATAATAAACATCAATCAAAATATATTTATTGTTATTTTTTAAATAATAAAATTTATTTTTTTTTATAAATTTTTTTTTTATTATATTTTTTTATTTTTTTTTATTTAATTTATTCTTTAAAAATTACACCCTTCAGTTCTATAATCACCAGAATACTTATTTTTTTCAGTTATAAATATTTTTACATATAATAATGATTCATATACTTCTTATTTTCTTTATTTATGGTGTATTCATAATAAACTCATCACATTTGTTGAAATATATTGAAAACAGGTAAAAAAGTTAGATAAACTTTTGTTAGGTAACATAAATGTATTAAATTTAAATTCAATTTATTCGGAAGATCCCAGGACCGTTTAATTAAATCTTGTAATATAACTGTTGTTATATTTAAGAATTCTAATATAATGAATTAATTACAAAACAAAATGTATTATAAACTAAATGTAATTAATTATAATAATAATAAAACACAAAATAAAGATAAAATAAAATATAATAAAACCAAAATAAATATATAAAAATATTTAAAAATTATATTTTAAAAAATAACTAATCTTTATTAAAACTAAAAATTACTAATTATTATTATTTATAAATTCTATAACTAAACTATTACTTATTACTTTCTCTATATTATTTTCTCTATTATTCTCTCTGTTATTATTTTCTCTGACTAAAAATTATTTTTGAATTTTAATTTATACTGAAAAATATTATTTTTAAAAAATTAAAATTAATTTAAAAAAATATTTAATTTTAAAAATGTGTTTACAATTGATGATAAATATAAAATAATAGATGTGTGATTATTTAAATTAAAAATGTGTCTAAATTTTATGATAATTATAAAATAATATATGTTTGTCTTTTTCTAATAAATGTGATATATGTTTATGATTATTATAATAAATTTGAATTGATTTTAGAATTGTTGTTATATGACAATCTCCTCAACAATTGCCTTAATAGCTCAGTTGGTACGAGCGTGAGACTGAAGTTCTTAAGGTCGCTGGTTCGATCCCGGCTTGAGGCATATTTTTTAACACCACCCCCCCCCCATTTTTTATCTTCCCGGAGATCTTGAATCCGCTTTAACAATTGTTGTAAGGAACTAAGATTATTTTACTGATACCACAAACAATTAGCAACATCAATGAAGAATAGCAAGAGCATACTTCATCAGCATCAAATCTTTACCAGTTTAGAATATTTTCTTTAAAAACTTTATATAAAAACATTAAATAAAATTTTACTGATTAATTTAAAGCATTTGCTTTTAATTATCTTCACTTTTAAAAAAAAAAAAAAAATTGTCTTCACTTTAAAAAAAAAAAAAATAATAAATGAAGATAATTAATTTCAAAATGGTTTTTAATTTATTAAATTATATTTTGGGTTTTTTGAAATAGTTCTGACAACATCAGAAATCAATAAATTTGATCTAAATATTCGTGAGGAAGAGGAGGGATTTTGAACTGTAATAAAAACATATTTGTTTTGATTTTTGCGATCAAATTTTAAAATACCTCTAAAAGATTTGTTATTTTCGTTAAAATAAACCGAAACTCTATCATTAATAATACTATTAATTTCATTTTTAATTCTAATATCGTCATTATTATTATATTTGCTGTTATTATTTATATTATTATTAATATTATTATTATTATTACCTTCTATATATTTAAATTTCTTTGTTATTTTTTTTTCTTTTAATTTAATTCCATTTTCATTTTCATCTTCATCTTCGCTACTATTATGATCTTTTTTCTTTTTTCTTTTTGATGATTTCTTTGTTTTTTTACAACAACAAAAACAAGTTTTTATTAAATTTCTGAAAATTGGAAATTTGAAAAACAAAAAACCTGTTACCAAAATAGCTATTAAGGAGAGTAATAATAAAGATAATCTTGTGGAACAAATTTTTAATTGACCTAAATAACAAATAATATTAAAACTATAAAATGAAAAATTAGTAATTTAATCATTTAATAATTTGATAATATACTATGAGAATATTTACAAATTAGGACAAACCAAGTCACAAGTTAATTCATAGCCAATATTTAAAGAGTCTGATTGATTGTTTGGGTTATCACCTGACTGGGCACCTTGTTCTATTATAGTTTTTGATGTATTAAAGTTGATTCTGATGCTTTGTAAAAGAGTTGATTGTTCATTTACCAAATCAGCAAAGCAATAATAGTATGATTGAAGCATTGTTGTAGTGTAAATTTGAAAAGAAAAAACATAGATTTCTTTTGGTTGTATAGTTGCAATTTGATTTGGCATTTGTATAATATCACCAGAACAATTATGAACCTGAAGTAAATAGTCTGCATTTAAAGCACCTGTATTTTGGACACTTATTTTTAAAACTCCATTATTTGACATTGATTCGAACGTTTCGATATTATAACTTATAATTTTAGCAGGTGAAATATTTACAACAAACTGTAAACTATCAGCAGACAAGGTCAAAGTTAAAATGGTTCTTTGAATTTCGTCAAAACGAACTGCAAAAGATCTTGAGTTTTTATTAGCGGCGCTACTAATTACCTTGACCGATGTACCAAGCTGAGATATAATATATCGACCCTTTTTACCATCGTTGATTAGTTTTAAATCATTTGCATAATAATCTGAAATTTGATTTTGTAAGCAAGATTGAAAAACAGCAGCGCATCTATTTGCTTGATTTTGAAAAGCACTATAACCAACACCGATTTTATTGCACCCAGCACCACTAAGATCAAAAAAGTCGTCATCCAATAGCAATGAGGTATTTATTATTGGTAAACTTGAGATTGGGTCAGAAGAGGCTCTTGGGAAAACAATCTTTTTATTTGGATATTGTTTGATTTGGGTACTCGTAGAGAGATCACCAACAATTCTAATTATAACTTGCGAGGTTTTTCCTGTTGTAACATCATTTGATAATTTAACGACATCGACTATGGGTAATTGGTTATAAAATGATTGAACAGTAGCATTGATTTGATATTGGACTCTAGTTTCTGAGATATCAAAAACATCATACTTTAATTCACTAAAAGAAAGGCAATGGGCAGATGATGACTTTGACCCAAAAAGAGAACAACCTAAATTTCCTCTTGAATTTTGATCAGCTCCAAAGTAATCGGACATTGAACAACTACAACAAAATCCTTGACTATCTCTGATTGCTTCGCCGGTAACTGAATTTACAGCATAACCACATGTACTATCGGTTGGTAAATCTTTACATCCTGTTCCAATTAAATAATCTGTTTTATAAATTACCTTTTCAACTGGTTTGAAAGCAACTGTTTGTAAATACTCTAATGGATACACAACAAATGTCTCGGATTTTGAAAATCTAACAACAATAGGTTCAAGTAATGTTTTATTTTTTCCATCGATATCAACAACATTGCTAATTTCGAAATTAAATGACTCTGTATTATTCTTTTTAAAAAAAAAAAAAATTTTAATTTTTTGTTAATTTTTTTTTTTTTTTTTTTTTTTTTTTTTTTTTTTTTTTTTTTTTTTTTTTTTTTTTTTCCAAAAAAAAAAACCCGGTTTTGTCCCCAAAATTGGGGTCCCCCCCATTTTTTTTTTACTTTTTAAACCCTTTTGCCCCCCTTTGGATTTTTCCTTCCTTTTTAGGGGGGGGGTTCCCAAAAGGGAATTTGGAAAAAAAACCCCCCCTTTCCCAAATTTAAAAATAAGGGTTAAAATAAAATTTTAAAAACCAACATCTTTTTTTTTTCAAATTTTTTTTTTTTTTTTTTTTTTTTTTTTTTTATTGAATTTTTTTCTAAAGAAAAAAATCTAATGAACTTTGTGATTTAATTATGAGTACCATTTTTTATATGCTATTATTAATTATGTGTATGAAAAAAAAAAAAAGATTTTAGTTTCTCGAATACCGAAAAATTTAATAGTTTTGTTTTTATTTATTTTTATTTTTATTTTAAATTAATTTAAAAAAAAAAAATATTAATTTTAAAATTTTTTTTTTCTTTTTTCGTTTTTACTTTTTATTTTAATATTTTTTTTTAGAGCAATAACAACACATAATCTATATTGTTTATAATTAATTTTAAATCTTTATAAAAATATTATTTTGTGTTTATGGGTGTGTGTTGTGCATATTTGTCTTCTATATAAAATAAAATAAATTAAAAAATTAAAAATTATTTTGTTTTTTTTTTATTAAATTGTCTTTTTTTTTTTTTAAAATTTATATGTAAATAAATATAAGTAAATAATAAATACAGTTAACTATAATGAACCAATCTCCAGTTTCAAGGGAAAATAAACAAACAGAAAGAAATAATATTAAAATTTTAATATCGGCATCAATAGTTGGTGGTGTTTTAACAAGCTTTTTGGTGACACCATTGGATGTAGTAAAAACAAGATTACAAACTCAAGATAAACCCATATCGACAGGTCTAAATAATCAACAACATAATAAGCATTTATTTAAAGGTACATTGGATGCATTTAAAAAGATTTACAAGAATGAAGGCATTTTTACATTTTGGAGAGGTTTAACACCATCATTGTTAATGACCGTACCAAATACAACAATGTAAGTATATTAATTATAGCAATCTAAAATAAATAGTGTGTATAAAATTATTAAAACTTTTCATATTGTTCAATAGTTATTTTACATCATATGAATATATTAAAGAATTTTTATATCAATACGGAGATAGCGAACCCTATAATATTTATGCAGTACCACTTATAGCGGGAACAGCTGCAAGAATGGTATCAGCATCAGTCACATCACCATTGGAGTTGTTAAGAACGAATTCACAGGGTATTGATTTATCAAATTATAAACAATCTACAGCAACATTAGGTACTCCGACTCAGCATCAAAAATTTAATTCTGTAACATTATTTAGAGATATTATTAAGAATGTTGGTATCAAAGGTTTATGGAGAGGCTATTTTCCTACAATTATACGTGACGTTCCATTTTCTTCATTATATTGGCTTGGATATGAGGTTGTAAAATCCAAATTAATGAAATTACAAAATCCAAATTACAAAATAAGATCTCAGCAATCTCCATTTCTCATAAACTTTATATCAGGTGCTGTATCAGGAACAATAGCGGCAGTACTAACAACACCAATCGATGTTATCAAAACTAAAATCCAAATAACTGTACAAAAACAACAACAGCAACAGCAATATGTTACCGAAAACCATTTAAATGGTATAAGACATCAATTTAAACAAATTATTAAAGAGGAGGGTTTCATAGGTTTAACAAGTGGTTTGGTTCCCCGTGTTGCTAAAGTTGCACCTGGGTGTGCAATTATGATATCTTCATATGAATGGATCAAGCAATCAAAATTTGATTAAATTAATAATTATAATAAAATAAAATAATAAATAAAAATAAATAATAATAATAATGATAATAATAATAATAATGGTAATAATGATAACACCACAAATATAGAAACAATATTATAAAGAGTAGTTTTTTTTTATTGGTTTATTTTTTTTTTTTTTTTTAGTTTAAATTAAATTTAATAAAAAATATTCAATTGTTTTTATTTAAAATAAATGTTGTTTACAATTTATATATTAAAAATGTAACTCTTTATTTTATTTGAAAAATAAATTCAAATTTTATAAGGTGTTATGTTTATTTTAAAAACGACACTGGGAAAAGTTAGATTACGATAAAATTTGTAAATTTTTTTAATAAATAAATAAATCAAAATATTTTATTTTTTTTTTTTTTTTATTTTTTTTTTTTTATTGGGATATTTTAACATTTTTTATATTTTTTTATTAAATTTTAAAATTTTTTTAATTCAAAATCCTCATTGTTTTTTCATTCATCATAATAGCCGGTTTTCAAGAAAGTGTAAGTATTTTTATATAAACAAAAATTTAAAAAATATTATATTTTTCAGTTTTCTATTTTTTTTATATTTATAAAATAATAATATTTGGTTTAAAATAATTAACAATAAATTCGAAAAATTAATTAAAACTTGTTTTAATACCACACTCACACAAAATAAAATTCCCCCCACACGCACATTAAAATTTAAATATGAACACCCACATATAAAATTAATACACCATAAATAATGGTAATAGTATACATTATAAACACAATTTTTAATTTCTTCACCCCCAAAACACACTCTCACATAGACATTATTATTATAAAAAGAAAATAAAAAAGTTTTTTTTCTTTTTTTTTATTTTTTTTTATTTAAATATATAATTTTAAAATTTTTTTCTTTATTTTTTCAATAAATATTAATCTTTTATTTTATTATTTATTTCTTTTATTTTATATTAAGAAGAAAGTTTATTTAGATTCAGTAATAAATAACCTACCACTCTTTTTTTTTTTTTTTTTTTTTAAAATTTAAAATTGCCCATTTCAAAGTGTTACACCTTAAATATTTTATCCTTAGATAAAATAAAACTATTTTTTAGATATTTTTAATTCTTTTATTTTATAAAATAAAAAAAAATAAAAAAAGTAAATAATATTTATAAAAAAAAAATTGAGCACATAAAACTAACTTTATTTTTTTTTTTTATGTTGTATTTTTTAAAAAAGATGGAGCAAGAAATTCAAATAGATAATAATAATATAGAGAATCTACAACAACAATATCATAGTACAGGTACCAATCCAGATATTATGTTTGGTTTAGGAACAGATATTATAAATAAAGATATGTGGTGGAAATTATTATACACAATGTTCACTATAACAGCTATAGGATATTTAATGGCAAAAAGAACATCTAATAGGATATTTGTAATGGTCAAACCAGTACCAGTTGTAATTTTAGGATATATAGTTTTATTATGGTGTTCAATTCATCACAAAACAGGCACACAACAAGTTTTAAATGATGCTCTTCATTTAATAGTTCCACACAATCCTACCCAATACGCAGTATATATTTCAGTTGGTCTTTTCTTATCAGCAATTGGCGATTTTTTCCTTCTCTATAAAAGATTTTTCATTCATGGTGTTTTCTTTTTCTTGATTGCTCACATTAGTTTTATTTTTGCTTTCACCTCATCCGATCAATTCTTTACACCAATAGTTATAGGTCTTTTAGTTGGTATAGTGTTATTTTTTGCCTTTATGTTTTTAGCCAAAGTCTTCCCATTATTCTCAAAGATGGGAATCTCCCGTTCATTAGCCGTAGCTTTATTCTTTTATACAAGTGTAATTGTAGCAATGTGTTATACCGCTTCCGTCAGATCAATCACAAAACTCTTAACTTTAATAATTTCAAATAATACAGCAGATATCACTTCAAAACTTTTCACATCAATGACTTTTTACGCTTCAATTGGTGCCATTGGTGCTGTATTATTCTTTATCTCTGACATGATGATTTTGGTAAGAGAGGTTAATTTATTATCAAACAATAACGTTAGCAAGGTCAGAAAGGTTTTAGGTCACGGCGATCTTGGAATGATAGTTTATTGGTTGGGTCAATTTTGTATTGCCTTATCAGTATCCCACTAAATTTTATATAAAACATTTATTTAATAAAAAATAAAAAAATAAAAAACAAAAATTTTAAAAAAAATAAAAAAAATAAAAATTTTAAACTAATTTTTGATCGCTGTGTGTTAATTTTCTTTTTCTTTTTCCAATTTTTTTTTTTAAATGTATTTAAATTAAAAATAATTATTTTTATTGTTAAGTTTGTGTTAATTTTTCATTTAATTTAAAACATTATAAGATCAACATATAAATAAGA